TCTTCATGCCTTGAATAAGCTGTACAAAAAACATATTTGTTATTCTGAGAGAGAGAGCTTGAATCCAGTATTAAATAAGGTGCTACTTCTGGATAACTGACTGCATACTTCCTGGTTTAAGGTGATAACCAGTCACCAAGAACTGTTAGTCCCCTTAGACAAGCCTGGGTTAATGAAGATAAATTCCTTCCCGGATCTTCATGCCTTGAATAAGAGGTACAGAAAACATACTTGTTATTCTGATGAGAGAGAGCTTGAATCCAATATTGATAAGGTGCTCCTTCTCGATAAGTGACTGCATAGTTCCTGGTTTAAGGTGATAACCAGTCACCAAGAACTGACACGTGATTGGATTCACTCCATATTCAGTTTGCACGAATCACTATCTTAGGACACAATGGGGTGGTGGGGTAGTCTAGTGTTTAAAGAATTCACTTGTCATGCTGAAGACCCAGGTTCGATTCCCCACATGGTTACATTGTGTGAAGCCCATTTTTGGTGTCCCCTGCCATGATATTGCAGGAATATTGCTAACAGCAGCGTAAACCTAAACTTGCTTATTCACTTTTTGAGTAAGGGCTATATCACACAGCTACACAAAACATTTTTGTGCTTGATGTTATTTATTCTTTACTTGTTATTCTGATGTCCACAGAAAAATGGTTAAATGCGTAAATACGTACCGTAGAACTGAATCATTGGTGCCTGAACATTTACAGGGGGTGGGAGAGGTTGTTACCTCAATGTTTCAAGTCAATTTATTTTTGGGAATGAGCAGTGTATAAATTGATTTTGAAGTCACTAGCCAGAGGGGCTAGTTAAGTAAAAATGTTGCTAGCCCACATCACTGGCCCGGCAAAATATCGATATCAAAATGCACATCGGTCAGAACTGATGTGATGTTTGCCAACTGAAGATGTCGAATGTACACATTTGTGTTGTAATGGTTCCTAACCTCTTTGGCGCAATGCTATTAACATTATTTATATAGCGATCTTCGTGTAACACTGATTTTTAACACCTGAATAACCGACTTAATCGTAGTCATGTGCATTAAATAAAGAACAAATTATCAGATTTTCAGCAAGCCAGTCTGTATAGCTTTAATAATATATTACTGGCCCGATTCACAATCAGCTAGCATTTGGATAGTGGGCCAGTAGCTATTTCGAACACTGGGAATGAGGAGCATATCAGTTTTGGGATATACATTGTTCAGCTTTGTGGTGTTGCACCTGACTTTTTAAAATCTGGAACAATTTATCAACCATTAATCAGAAAAGCATAGGTTAAATGATAGAATTCTGAACATTTGTTTGTCATACATGGAAACTGAATAAAGACATTAGGATAGTGTCACCTGGATCAGCAATATTTGTAAGCCTATGACAAACAATATACCTACGACTGTTCATAATGCAATGAACACTTTGTGGATAGGCACACTGTTTTTGAATAAGATGATTGGAAGTAATTAAGACCATCACTTACACTGAACCATATTTTATACACGTCATTTTTGACCACCCAAACAGGAGTTCCATTGAAGGAATACTTGTGTTCATTGTGAGTCTTCTTTTGTCAAAATTACAATTATTGAATCGAGATGGTACAGCCAAATTGTTTGAGAAAGATGAGATCTGATTTAATCCTTCATTCAGCATCTTCAGATACGGAGGTGAAAGGGTGAGTCATCATTTCTTCATGCAGACTGGAATTGCATCTGATTTCAATAAGACTGCATGACAACATATATCCAGACAACATAGGTGCATAGCCACACAAAAATGTGAAGATGGATGATCATTTGATAAGAAAATATGAATGCTGTCAAAATGTGCTTGTGCTTCTATGTCTAAATATGACGACAAACAAACCATAGTTATTCAGAACAATTTATTACAACAAATAGAAAAATAACATTTGAAATGAGGCACATGGATATGCTTGATTTATCAACATCATAACAAAATATCAGTGTAGGACTTATTTCAAGATACGAGAGATCTTAACATGATTAATCCTTATCACAATTATTAATCGACTCCTAAGAAATGACACTGAAAAGTTCATTTATGTTCAGGTCTGATCAAAGGGAGATAATCCATATCAAGTTGTCTCACTGTAGATTGCTTTCCTCCATGTATTTTGTTATAACACGAGTCACTATATGCAACACAGCTATTACATCACAGCATAAATTATTGAGCAGTGATGCTGTAAGTAGCCAACTAAAAACCGTTATGTCCAAAAATAATATGACAGTAATATACTTTGCATGGGACAAAAAGGTCAGTGATTATGCTGATTCATGGAAAATTGTGAATAGTCAAAATAGTTTATTTATATGTTGCAACCTCCTTGTAAAGTGATGAGCAATACTGAAAAATCCTCAAACTGAACACACCTGAGTATTAACTGAATGTAGTTTTGTGCCACAGCAAGATTCAACCATGAGTGAGTGAGTGAGTGAGTGTGCCACAGCAAGATTCAACAGTGAGTGAGTGTGGTTTTACACCACTTTTAGCAATATTCCAGCAATATCATGGCAGGGGACACCAAAAATGGGCTTCACACATTGTGCCCATGTGGGGAATCGAACCTGGGTCTTCGGTGTGACGAGCCAACGCTTTAACCACTAGACTAACCCACCATCCCCCAAGATTAAACAGCCTGTGAATCGACCAAGACACTGACTGACCACTTGATGAGCAAAGGTAGGAGAGCTGTTCTAAGCTTGAATCCAATATTGATAAGGTATCTCCTTCTGGATAACTGACTTCAAACTAGCTGGTATAAGGTGAAAAAAGTCGGGCAGAAACTGGCGAGTGATTGGTTTCACTACATATTCGGTTTCCACGAGTCTCATGACACAATGAGTAAAGGCTATATCACACAACTACACAAAACAATCCTTGTTCTGGATGCTATTCCTACTTCCACTCATAGTATGAGGACCAATTAATGATCACGTTTAGAGAATAATGGACAGGATTCAGACATATAAAAATATGAACTAAGAACTAATCAACCTGGGAAAAGTTCAGGAAACAAGTGCTCTGTCAACCCAGGATGAATTAACGTTTTGTTGCAGTCCATGATAAATCAAGCACTGGTCAGTTTGGAGACAGTATACTGTGTGTAAGCCCTCAATGAAAGAAAATAGCCTGAAATTACATGAAATAAATAGCAATGAATATTGGAAAAGTGATGCATTTTGGTCATGAAAACTAATGTACAACACCCCAATTCTGAGCAAAGGGAGGTAACTTGTTAGTGCTTTTGATTTTGACACATCTGGGCCCTTATTCTTGAAATGTTCGTAGCCCTAAGAATTCTTAACTTTGATCATAGCCAATGTGTTAAGAATGGGCTTAAGAAGTTCGTAGGGCTACGAAAGTTTCAAGAATAGCAAGCCAGAATTTGATAATTCAGACTGAAGATCAGTTTAGTGGATTCCAATCCTACATTCTTTCCTAAAGTTTCAAAGACAAAAACTAAACAAATACCAACAGAATGACTGGAAACAAACATACATTAATAAGTAGCATACAGGATGACAAAAAATATACCAGATCCATTGCAGAACAATTGAATATTACAATGTTATGAGGTAAGCTTGGAATAAAAAGAGTAGCAGTAACCACTACAGTTTGAAACAAAACAACAACATCTCAACAAAGTATCAGTAAACATCAACATCAACAGCATAAAATCAGCACCTTTTTAAAAAAAATATTCATAACATCCATTTGTTTATGAAATGATAAGAAAAACAACAGATTTCCAATACAATATGTTCAAGATCCATGGAAACATGAAATAATAAGTTACATGTGTACATCATAAAACAACATGTATTTGTTCTGTGTGTCTGTTGACCTAAAGAACAATGAGTGATTTATCACTGTCATGTTTAGTTGTCGCATATTGAGATTGTTTCCCAATATATGTTTACTGAAAGAATTAACAACTGCTCTATGCAAGAGTGGCATTTGTCCCTAGATGTTCCTTCGCTGTCTTTCTATAAGTCCCATAAATCTCTGTTGACCTGTGAAAAATATTTATCATTGAACATAAGTAATAAGTGCAAGCGTCTGTTCACATTATTTAGATCAGGGTGTAATGCAGTAGGTATCAAATATATTAGAAGAGGTACTGCCTCCTGCAATGATGATATTGTATTATGTAAACACTGTAAAAGTATTGAGGATGAAATCCATATTGTCTATATTTGTATACGCTATGAGGATATGCGTTACATTCCGAAAACGGTCCATGGATATTATTATTCACTCCGCAGCATATGTACATCATCCGAAAATAACATCATAAATAATTTTGTCAAGTTCTTAGAACATGTTTATTCTGCTCCTGTTAGCGTTGTTGTATGAAAATAGTAACCCAAATCACTATTGTACCACCTGCTACGATGGGTCGTATGGCCTTTATACAAAATAAACCCTTCTTCTTCTTCATATTGAGATTGTGCGATTTATATATGAAGATGTGTCAGTTCACGCAGAATTTGATTTTAGACAGACATGGTTTTAGCAATAAAATCGAATATAGTGATGTTTTATCATTTTTTATAAATTAAGTGAGTGAGTGAGGTTTTTTCGCAGTTTCAGCAATATTCAAGCAATATCACGGCAGTTATAATCATAAATAGGCTTCGTACATGCTACCAAAGTCAGAAATCAAACCCGGACCAGGCTTTCAGTTTTAAGAACAAACACTTTAACCACTAAGCTACTCCACTGCCCCCATAACCTGTGAGTGTGACCCCACCGTGATGTTGCTGGAATATTGCTAAAAGCGGCGTAAAACCAAACTCAGTCAGTCAGTCAGTGTGAGTGTGAGTTTAGTTTTACGTTTGTTTGTTGTTTAACACCGCATTCATCAATATTCCAGCTATATGGCGGCGGTCTGTAAACTATCGAGTCTGGACCAGACAATCCACTGATCAATATAAGCAATAATCTATGCAACTGGGATACGATGACATGTGTCAGCCAAGTCAGCAAGCCTGACCACCCGATCCCGCTAGTCACCTCTTATGACAAGCATGGGTTACTGAAGATCAATTCTAACCCGGATCTTTGCGGGTCCCATAACCAGTGAGATAAAGTAATAGACGACAGATGCCACTCCTCCTTCATCAAATTGCCAGTTAACGTGATAAACCAAGAAGTGAAATATTAACATAAAATATTGTGTATATATCAGGAGAGCAATATTCATGTAAAAGTAAATTGTACAACATAATCTGGTATGAAATATTCAAGTTTACAAGCCATTGAGTAATTTCACTGGCTCACAGGTTGGTTTGTTCACAGATTATTCCAATTGATGACTTGATATTCAAATATATTCTCGATCATACAGCGACATACATGTTGTGATAAAGTTTACCAGTAAACCTCAAGCAGATGCAATGTTGGAAGATATTGGTAGTCCATACTTGTGGACTATCGATTCTGGACAAGACAATCCAGTAATTGACATCATGAGCATTTTTGATCGGAGCAATTGGGGAGAAACAATGACTTCTTCAACAAAGTCATCACCATCAATTTCCATTATTCTCATCATATGAGTTTTGCCAATCTGGTATAAGAATATTGTCAGTGCTAAAGCCCACAGGAGTGACTATTGATAAGCTTAACCAATGACAGAAACCATGTACACACTCTAATTATTCAGCTCATCAAAGCAGCTGATTTGCCAAGCTATCCTTTTGGCACGCAAACTGGCATTATAATGAGGAATTGGAACATTTATTTGGCATTATATCCAGCATATTTGAAATTATGGCATTGTACTCAAGACCGTCACCACCTTAATAACTTTCCTCTAATCAGTTAGCCCTACACCATCTGTCAATCTTCCTCTTATCAGTCAGATTCCTCTAATCACCAACACTTCTGACAACTTTCCTAAAATCAAGTCCAACACCATCTGACAACCTTCCTCTAATCATCAAGTCCAACAACACCTGGCAACCTTCCTCTAATCATCAAGTCCAACACCATCTGACAACCTTCCTCTAATCATCAAGTCCAACACCATCTGACAACCTTCCTCTAATCATCAAGTCCTACACCACCTGGCAACCTTCCTCTAATCATCAAGTCCAACACCATCTGACAACCTTCCTCTAATCATCAAGTCCAACAACACCTGGCAACCTTCCTCTAATCATCAAGTCCAACACCATCTGACAACCTTCCTCTAATCATCAAGTCCAACAACACCCGGCAACCTTCCTCTAATCATCAAGTCCAACACCATCTGACAACCTTCCTCTAATCATCAAGTCCAACACCATCTGACAACCTTCCTCTAATCATCAAGTCCAACAACACCTGGCAACCTTCCTCTAATCATCAAGTCCTACACCACCTGGCAACCTTCCTCTAATCATCAAGTCCTATAACACCTGGCAACCTTCCTCTAATCATCAAGTCCAACAACACCTGGCAACCTTCCTCTAATCATCAAATCCTACACCACCTGACAACTTTCCTCTAATCATCAACACCTGTACCACCCACATTCTTCCTCTAATCATCAACTCCTACACCACCTGACAACCTTCCTCTAATCATCAATACCACCAACTGTTCTAAACAGTCTTATGTTCCTCCTCGGGTCTGTGTGTGGTCTCGAAGTCGAGGTGTACGAAGGCTCGCTCCACCCTGTCGAGGTTCTCCAGACGCTGCTGCAGGGACTCCCCGATGTTGTGAGCCTCCCCCAACGTCATCGTCTCCGGCAACACGATGTCCACTTCCACCAAGTAGTTGTTGCCAAAGTGGAACGCCCTCACTGTGTCGATGTGCGTGATCTCTCTATGATGATTCAGAGAAATCCAGGTCAGCTTGCTCAAGAAGTCTGGCTTAGCTGTGTGTCCAGTTAGCAGTTTGATTTGCTCTGGAAACATAAAATACACCAAGTGTTCCGACAGTGTTCATGGGGTTATTTATAGAACTGTTTGCTAAATAGCACCTGATGCATATAGATTGGATTATGTGAATACATCCGTATATGTCTTTGAGAAATGGGAGACTGTTCACAGGTTTACGATGGTAGTAATCAGTTGACGAAGGAGACTGCTGATGGCTTTACAGGACCTGAATAAGTTTGCTCTTTCGCTCAGGTTTCTTCAACTTTTCTTTACACATAAAAACCTATCATGTTTTGTTCCTTGTTATTTCTTCACAGCTATCCATAGGCGTAGGAACTGGGGGCAGGGGGTCAGCTTTCTCCCAAGAAATATTTTTACAAGCTGGAAATGTTTTTAAGGGACCATACTAGAGAATTAAACACAAATTCAAGCCTCTGGTAATGTTGAAAAAATAACATGATCAAACAAATTTTTTACGCTAATGATAGAATCCAAATTTTTTAATTCATGTCACTCAAAAGTGAAAGTAGAGGCAGTCAGGCTGTTATTGACAGCCAACATGGATTCGAATCAGCGGTAAGTTGACAACATACATTGACATTACAGTGTAGTCTATACAGAAACATTTAGTTTACAGTAATAGCCATATTTATTAAAATCTAAATATTTTAGATATTTAAATACTTACCTTACCATAGGTCTTATGCATATTACCTCAAGCTCCGCTTAAAGAGATCAGACAGTCGTTGATTCGCCATTCTCTAGAATGGCCACCTCGTGTATAGACGAGTGTACAGGCAACTTTTACTGACCAGGTCGAAGAGCCCAGAGGGAGTACAGCCTATGGTAAGGTAAGTATTTAAATATCTAAAATATTTAGATTTTAATAAATTCTTAACATACCTTACCATAGGTCTTATGCATATGGATTCGACAGTAGGACGGCGGTGTCGGGCTCCAGAGGACCGTCCCAAGAAACACCCACATGCCAAGGGAAAACCAGAAGAAACTACTGAATCGGCAGACTGTCGCAGGAGGCGCCTGGAACCGGAGACAGATAGTAACTAAAGGCAACCCTAAGGAAAACAAATACACCCAAGGTGTAAGTTAACCTGAAGACCAGAAGGTAAGAAAACGTAGTTACCTAATGGGCGGTAGGACGGGTGAGTTGCTGAGCAACCACCAGTGGACCAAACGATTGAAGACCTTCCACGTCCTCGATGGCCAAATCCCGCAGGCAATGACTAGCGAAGACAGTAGAAGACTTCCAAAAACAACCCTCCATGATGGCTGGAATGGTGCAGTTTCTGTGGAGAGCCATGGTGGATGCCAGAGCCCTAATCTCGTGCGGATTATTGGCTGTAGGATGAGGCAGATCTTGCGCATCGTAGGCGGTCAGGATGGTAGTACGGAGCCAGAGCGCAAGCGTATTCTTATTAACTTAACCTTTGGCCACAGAAGACAACGGGATGAACAATCTCTTACGAGACTGCCTCCTGGAAGATGACTTGGCAATATAAAACTTAAGTGCCCTCACCGGACACAGCAGCTGTTCCTCAGTGTCGTGAGGTCCTAGAATGGAAGACAAAGGAGGGATGGAGAAGATCCTATCCGGTTGTCCCGGCAGCTGGTTCTTAGCCACGAAATCCCAAAGCAGTCCGAGATGAACAAGACCATACCGTGACTGCTCAAAACGCACCCTGGTGACATCCAATGCGTGGATCTCACTAACCCTAGCTGCTGTGGCCAGGGCCAAGAGAAAGGCTGTCTTCCTGGAGAGGTTCTCAAAAGAAGCCGTGTCCAAGGGCTCATAAGGGGGACCTCTCAGATGACGAAGAACGACGTTAAGGTCCCCAGCAGGAGGACGGAGCTTTGCCTTCTGGTCCTCCAGCTTAAACGCTTTGAGGACGGCGATGAGTTCCGGCACCTTGGAAATCTTTTGTCGCGCACTTGACCGCCAGAACGGAGTTAAGAGCCGATAAATAAGTACCTATAGTGTTGCCCCTTGAGGCGGGGACTTCGAGAAAAAGAAGGAACTCTGCTATAAACTGACGAGAAGCTTTCAACGGGTCCTTGGACTTCTGTGCACAAAACTTCTCAAAAGAAACCCACTTATCATCATAGAGTGATCTTGTGGAGACTCGATGAGCACGAGCAATAACCTTGGCGACACCCGTGGAGAAGCCCTTCGCCTTCAGCGCCTTTTGCAGATGATCCAACCGCACAGATGAAACCGAGTCGGATCGGGATGCCACTGTCGACTGTGGGGATGCCTGAGCAGGTGAGGCCAGTCTGGTAACTGTTGCGGACTGCTTTCGGCGAGACGGCGCAGATCTGGGAACCAGGTTCTGGCTGGCCACCAAGGCGCGACCAAAAGCAGACGAATCGTCTCGGTCCGCTTGACCTTTGCTATTACCGCTGGCAACAGAACTGGTGGTGGAAAGGCGTACACGTCCAGACCCTCCCATGACAAGGACATGGCGTCGACTGCCCATGCCGCCGGATCTGGAATCGGAGACACGTACAACGGAAGTTGTGTGTTGAAGCGAGTCGCAAACAGGTCGATCAGAGGGCGGCCATGACTGTGACAAAGAAGTTTGAAAGCTTCTGGTTGTAGCATCCACTCTGTTGGAGACGGTTTGCCCGGCCTTGAGAGAGCGTCTGCCAAATCGTTCTTGCACCCTGGGATGTGCCGGGCTCTGGCGCTGATGCCATTGTTGTCCAGGAGACTGGCCAGCTGGAAAGTCTGCTCCAACAACTGTTTGGACCTGGTCGTTCCCTGATTGTGAATCAACCACACCACCGTAGAATTGTCCGACGCTATCAGGAGCCTGGTGTTCCGCAACAGAGGCACCCAGTGTCGAACGGCTAAAATGACTGCTTGCACCTCCAAGTTGTTGATGTGCCAACTTAGCTCGGGGGCGGACCACAGCCCCGAGGTGGTCTGGTCGCAGAGGTGTGCACCCCAACCTTGAAGAGACGCATCTACGAACAGTTCGTGATCGTGAACAAACTCTGTCAAGGAGACTCCTGCGCAGACGTTCGACTCGACAGCCCACCAACGGAGGTAAGCGTGGAGATGCAGGAGCAAAAGGAACCTCAACTGAAGGTCGTCCGCCTGGATGTAAGGCAACAGGAAGCCCTGTAACGGCCGAAGCATCAACCGACCTCTGAGCGTCAAGTCCTGGGCTGAGGTGAGGAGACCTAAGAGGGACTGCCACTCCCTGAGCACGAGCGGCTGAGATAGACCTCGGTTGGCGAAACTGACAATCTTTCTCCAGCGATCCAGCGGAATCCTGACAAGGTCGCAATGCGTCAGGAATAAGCCTCCTATAAACGTCAGTTCCTGGGACGGCTCCAGGTGGGATTTGTCTATGTTGATAATCCATCCCAGTTGCTGCAAGAGATGAATGGCAAAGTGCATCTGTTTGCGAAGCAACTGAGGGTCGAGGTGGTTCATGAGACAGTCGTCTATATAAGGGTCGAAATCGATGCCCCTGAGATGGAGGAACCGGGTGATCGGCGAGGTAATCCGAGTAAAAAGCCACGGGGGCTGTGGAAATGCCAAACGGAAGCACTTTCCACTGGTAGTGGGACCCGTTGAAAAAGAACCTCAGGTACTTCCTGTGACGGTGGTAAATGGGCACATGCAGGTAGGCATCCTGAAGGTCGAGGCTGGCCAACCAGACCCTGGGCGGAAGCTTGGCTCGTAGCTGTTCCAGGGACACCATGCGGAAGTGAGGCGGTTCCGAAAGATAAAGGTGGTTGAAAACTGCCATGTTGTGAATCATGCGTAGTTTCACTGAGTCCTTCTTGGGAACCAGGAAGATTGGTGAATAGAACCCTGGGGACTGTTGGGGGTCCAGCACTGTCTCTATAGCTTGTTTGCGTAACAGAGTGTGAATGCTGTCTGCTAGCAGTAACTGTTGGTCTGGAGCATACACACGTGACTGGGGCGTTGTAGTCAGAGGCGGCGACACAGCGATTGGCAGCTTGTAACCGGTCTTGAGAATGTTGGTGACAAACGGGTCTTCCAGGATTGTCCAGTTGGGCCAGAAGATCCCCAGTCTCCCGCCTACTGGAGTAGGACGAACCGGCACGACTGGGGCCGGGAGGTCCCAGTCGTGTTGGGTCGCAACTTCAGCGACCGAAGTAAGGGCACCTCCCCCTACCCCTGCCGGGGGTCGATGGGGTGCCCCAGGGACGGTCCTGCTGACGGCGCTGAAAAACAGGTTCGGACCTGCCACGGCCACGTCCTCTGCCAGAGGCATCGCAGACGGAGTCTCTTCTCGGGACGTAACGGCGCTTCCCTCTACCTCTTGTAGATGATCTGCCACGAAAGGCCGAACTCAATGCTTCAAACGTAGACAAAGAAACCTCCGTATTGGTAAGCTCTGCGTGTTCCTTATACACCTCCGGAATGCTGTCATTAAAGAGGAAACGAGACGCAAAAGGGGCTCTTAACAGTTTCCTTTTAAACTCTTCCTGCCAAGAGCAGGGCTCCAGGAAACCCATCCGCCGAACAACCGTTGTCATGGCCAAAGCCGCCCGGAGGTGCGCCAGCAAATCATGCAACACCTTACCCTGCCATTGAAACAGGGTGGTAAGATGTTCTAACCTTGACACGTTGTCTTCCGTCAAATCCCAAGCTGCAGCCGAAGTTGCAGAGGCCAACGCTGATACAGGCTTCAACATCCACTTGAGCTCTGCATCAATGGCCAACATCTTGGAGTCCTGCACTCGGTAAGATGACTGTGGGGAACCCGATAAGCGCTTGAGGGATTCATCATGAGCCGCGCCTCCATCAGTGAAATCCAAACTATGTATCTTGTAGTCCCCTTTGCGTGACTTAGGAGCCTTAATAGTGGTATTGAGAGACAAAGTAGCAAAATCAGCGTCCAAAGAAGCCACAGCATCGGCCACCATCGGGTGAGGCGGGAGGAGTAACTCTGGAGAAGACCGAATAGCCTTCGGGTCGGCCGAACCTGAAGAGGGAGAAGGACAATCCGGCAGTCTGTCGGCAATCCAGTCGAACACAGCAGAGAGAGGGAGGTAGGTGCCCCCATCATCATCATCCTCTTGCAACATTTCCTCATTATAATCGGGAGAAAAATAGCGCTCCTCAGTGTCCTCCCAGGACACGGTAGGAGCAGTAAATCGTTGACCCGAAGCAGCAGGCTTCGTTGGGCGCACCGATGACAACTGAGAAGCAGCACTCAAAGTAACCGTCGGGGAACGTGGACGTCGCGGCGAGCGGCGAACAGGAGGTGACCTTGAACGGGACCGACGGTATCGCCTCCCACGCATCGGTGACCCTGAGCGCCTCTCCCTATCCTTGGAACGTACGGGAGAGCGAGACCTTGAGTCAGACCGACGACGGCGAAGAGAAGTATCCGAACTAAGACGAGGACTCCTAGACCGATGATGCTGCCGAGGAGACCTGGAACGAGATCGTCGAGAACGATGGGAACGCTCGGCATCCTGACGTCGGGAACGCTCTTCCATTAACTGACGTTGTAGGTCCTCCTCTCTAGACACCGTAGCCTTCCTGGGGATACGGTAGTCTGCCAAAGGCGTCGGAGTTGGCGCTGGCGCTGGCGTCGGTACAGGCGTCGGCATAGGCGTCGGCATAGGCGTCGGCAGAGGTGTCGGCGTCCGCATGGGCGTCGGCGTAGGCATCGACGTTGGTTGAAGCAACAAGCCAGCAACGGGAGAATCAAGTGCCACAGGCATCGGCGCAGGGACAAAGCTAGGCAACGGCGCTGGAACGGTGCTAGCTTGGGCTCCGGCAGCTGCCGGCAAAAGGAGCTTCCGAAGCAACTTCTGAACCTCCAGATGCGACAAAGCGTCCGGGTGGGATAGGTCAACAAAGGCGTCAGACGGGCGCATGGCTTCAGTCGTAAGCAAACGAGGCACAGGGGTGGACGGCTGATCTATCACAGGAGAAGAGCGACCGACCGGCGTACGAGGGGGAGAAGACTGGGAGTCCACAGAAGAAACAGGGGAAGACATTTTCCTCTTCCGTTGTGGCAAGCGTTTCTTCTTGGCGCTGAGGTAGGCCTTGAAATCTGCGACGGACAGCGGAGTACAAAAGTGACAGCGCTCGTCAATGGAACAGGCAACAGTCGCACAGTCTGGGCACCAGGGGTGTGGGTCCTTGGCAGACTTCTGCACCTTGCAGATGCAACAAAACTGCCGGGTCATGCACACAAAAAGCTGTAACACACAAATGTGAAACGTAAAAACCTAGAAACAAAACCCCTGCAGAAGAAAAATGGAAGCACCCCTACAACAAGAATGGGCACGCCCAAGTAAGTGGGACAGTCGTGTAAACAACCAAGATGGCTGCCCCCACTGAGCCGAAAAAAGCGGGAAAAAACACACAAATTAGGCAAGAAATAAGAAGGTACACATAAACAAGCATGAAACAGAAGGTGGAAGAACCCTAGAGGTATCAAAACACCCAAACATGCCACGTGGAAAAATCTCGGAACGTGGGGACATACCCCAAACCGAAGTGAAAAAAACATAAACACGAGGCAGCCAGGTAAGTGAAGTTACTTGTAAATTATGTTCTTCACCCACAGAGAAGAGACATAAGATAGAAAAACATACATACCAACAACTTTAATATCTGAAATCTATTAGTAAGTGTCTGAAAAACTTAGCGAAAACAAAAACGTCTGACAAGCAAGACGCTTGAAGTAAAAGTGATTTTGGATGGACCGCGCTTGCTCGGGAGGGGAGATCACGTCACTTCCGTTGCCTGTACACTCGTCGATACACGAGGTGGCCGTTCTAGAGAATGGCGAATCAACGACTGTCTGATCTCTTTAAGCGGAGCTTGAGGTAATATGCATAAGACCTATGGTAAGGTAAGTTAAAAATTTTAAGTATAATAGATGCTGTTTGATTTATTTATTGAAAATCTAAACAATAACAATAAGACACGATTTCAAACTCATACATTGGCAGTGAGAGAGCTGGTTTTATCTGAAAGCCGAATTCATGTATGAAATAAGAATGGCTGCATTATTATACCCCCGCTACGACGTAGTCGCTGGTATATAGTGCTAAGCCCGTCCGCCCGTCCGTCCGGAATGGTTTCTCTGAGAATAACTCAAAAACTGTACCACTTACAAACTTCAAATTTGGCATGGTACTTACCCTTATGGTGCCATTGTGGGTTTTGGCTTTCAATTGCATGATGCCAAAATTGAAAGTTTTCCTAAAACATTATTTTGGTATTCAATAATGGTATTGAAGGCGATCAGACTATAAGCGGGGGTATGTGAGCTGTGCTCACTTCTGCCTTGTTATTGAATGTAATTATAATATATTTATAGTATAAAACTATTGTTTTTCAGTACCCTATTGTTCTATTTGTCAGCACCCAAAATATGATTATCATAAAGAAAAAATGACAGTGACTCCAATTTCTTATTTTTCAGATATTTAAGACCAAATATAAAGAGAATAAGTTATTATAAAGACCTTCTTGTGAAGTATTCTAAAGCTGCAGACCAGGGCTGGGACACTCTTTGTGGAGAAATTGCAAAGCAAGTGAACTCGTCTGTCCTTTTCATATATCTCCTCTCTCCACCCCACCCCCGTTATCAATTTCTCAAATCTTGCCCCCCCCAACTTTTAAACTGTTCCTACGCCTATGCTATCTCAATACAACAGGTTATCACTTTAGTTCCTTGTTTATCTACGAAGTAAAAGGCTACCCCACCACCCCTCGGTTTCTTAGGAGATGATGTTTACTGATAGTGATGTCAGTGATGCTGTATGGTGGCAAAGCAGGTCAAGGAATAAGCTCACTTGATTTTCTTGAAGAAAATGCCTTCCTTCGACAAATTTGGATGTAAATCTATTTATAGAACTCACCCGCTCCTGTCCTCCACCAGCTGACGAAGATGAAGAAACCAATGATGATGGCACCGATGGGGTCGATGAACACCACATTCTTGTTCTGTACAATCCCCATAAACTGAGCTGATCCTGAAGTAGAGGCAAGTTGGTTCTATTAAAATAATTTGTTATTAACTTGGCAAACACAAGCCAGACAAACTGGTGTGGTGGGTGAGGTGAGGTGAGGTGAGGTGAGGTGAGGTGAGGTGAGGTGAATTAACTTACCAAGATATCCGCAGACGATGGCGACTGTGTTGGAGACGACGTCGTTCCGATGATCCTGCATGAGAACAGCAACCGAACTACCGTGACGCCGATAGATGTAGCACATGATGAACAACGCCAGTTTTATCACTGAAACAATGACATAGAACAAGTGAACCTTGGAAATGTTGAACAACTGTTCAGTAATTTGACTTGTCACTTTGTCAAAAATGCAGGAATTCTGCATTTTTAAAAAATTAAAAATATTTTCACAATACTGTAGCTCTACGGCTGTTGCCAGAATAGTTTTGTTTATGTTGTCATCCCGATTCTGTTTTGTTTGTCTGTTGATAAACATCTCATTCACAATTTTCCATCAATGTGACAAAAGTCTTTAACATATTTATCCTGGAAAAGACAACCCACTGACAGACATCATGGAGACTGACCTACACATTTGGGGAAGAGTCACTGAGTATGACCACCCAATATCACTTGTTGTCTATTGAAGATCAATTCCAGCCTGGAGGAACAGTGGGGTAGCCTAGTGGTTAAAGCATCAGCTCATCATGAAGACCCGGGTTCGATTCCCCACATGGGTACAATGTGTGAAGCCCAGTTCTGGTGTCCCCCACCATGATGTTGCTGGAATATTGCTGAAAGCAGCGTGAAACTTACTCAGTCTGAATCTTCATAGGGACACTATTGTAATGGTTACAAAAAAAGCAAGAGTCCCTCATAGCGCCTGGTGTCAACACGACATGCTTGTTTACTCACCGACTGTGCTTGCTGCAATAACTATTGTGACAACATCAAATTGTGGGACAGCTCCATCCTGATTGGCCAGAGATATGATTTTCTGTATGGACTCGATGGTCAACTGCAGCGATGCTAGAGACATCACAACGGATAATATCACTATCGCCACTGGTTCCAACTTTGTTCGACCTAGAATATTAACACAGTTCATTTGGGGTACTGCTGCTGCTCCTACTACTACTACTACTACCACTACCACTACCACTACCACTACCCCTGCCTGGTGCTTTCGGCATTAATGGGTACAACAAGGACTACTGACTACTACTACTACTACTAGCTTCAGTCTGGGCTACTACATGCATGCACTACTTTCTACTACTACTACTACTACTACTACTACTACTACTGCAACAATGAATTCCTCATGCAGTAATGTCTTTTAATAGTCTGATGGGGATATAGAACCATTAACATCTTCAGAGCACATGGAAGGAAACAGTAAAATAATTATTCTATATCCCCATTCCTCCTTAGCCTTGTGCTTGAAGCGTTTGCTTGTCACCACGAAGAACCGCGTTCAATTCCCATCATGGCCCAATGTGTAAAACCCATTTCTGGTGTCCTCTGCTGTAACATTGCTGGAATATTGCTAAAAGCAAGTCACCCACTCACTCACTGAGACCAATTCTATGTCAGAATACCCACAGGATATATAAGTTGTCTCAAATGTTGTAGTAGCGTGCAGTAAATAGGTTTTTGTTTTTAATAGAAATGATGACTGACCACTTGGGTACAAGTGAGGGTTTCTCTTCTTCATCGTGCTGGACGTCCACCAGATGATAATCCCAGACAGTAGGTCTACTACCGAGTCTACCAAACTGGAGATGATAGAGATTGAGCTGGACAGAGCTGCTGCCACAATCTTGGCCACAAGAAGCACCTGCAACCAGTTTAATTTAATTGTAATTTTAGTTAACCTTTGGAGCTTATACAAATTCAGGGAAGGGTTGACCATTGCTGTAACTTGTATCTCATTTTTGAAAAGAAGATCTGACACACTTAATCAAACACAACACACATAAGAACGGCTTCGCTTACAAAATTTGCAGCAAATGAGATTTTGGACATGATGGACGCTGTCTTCTGCCCATACTCCTCTCCCCCTGTGTTGTGCTGTTCCTGCTGCAGTGTCTCGTAGGCCGTGATCAGCTCATCCTGAGCCTTGTAGTATGACCTGGAACAGCAAGAGGGGATGCAGTCAGTCAGTGTGGCTTACACATCCATTCATCCATCCATCCATCCATCCAAATACTTGTATAGCGCCAATAAACCGCTCAAAGGTGCTTTGGATCTAAGATGGTATTGATATCACATAGAGTTCAAATGCTTCAGCAAATAGACAAGTCTTTAGATTTGATTAAAAAACAGCTAAATCTGGTTGTGTTCTGAGGTGAGATGGAAGATTGTTCCAGAGATGAGGGCCAGTCGTCTCGTGTGACCTGTCACCATATGTTTTTGTCCTAGTCACAGGAATTGTAAAAAGACACTGGTCATTTCATCGGAGGGAACGTACAGGAGTATAACGGTGGAACAGATCATGTAGGTACTGAGGAGCTAGACCATGTATACTTTTGAAAACAAGGAGTCGAGTTTTATATTTCATGTGGTAGTTGACCGGAAGCCCACCCAGTTACTGTCACCAATCAGTGGTTGATAGCAAGAGTCTAAAAATAGTTAAGTCATTCAAGACATGTGAACCTGTACGGAGAGGAACCTGAAATGACTCCAGCCTAAGGCATAAATATCATATTGTCAGAGCATGGAAAATTCTTTGAATGACATTCAGGAGTGATACACATTAAAGGTGAGAATTTATGGATGTCAACCTCTCTATTATGAGGAACATAATGTTTCAGAGTATATTCTTATCTGATGGAGGAGTAAGAATATACTCTGAAATGTTGTGTCCCTCATAATAAAGAAGCTGAAGTCAACGTATTCAAACCATTCGTGACCCACTCGTGTTATTCCGGGACAAGCCGAATAGCGACTCGTGCCCCTCTGGAAGGATTTCATATTGGCGCATGAACATCAGAACTACTTTAAACAAGAACGACAACTCTATCCCTGTTTGATTCCAATGTTTCTTAATATCACGGAAGCACATGTACATTGATAGATTGTTGTTTTGGGGATTTTTATACTTATTTATTTTAAAGAATTAAACCACTTTGATACAACTAAAAGAAAGAGAATAACATATTTGTTAAAGACATATTCTAATGTAATTATTACCAGCGGTGACCTTATATTTCCAATTATGTTAATTTTCTTAATAGGGTTTAATCATCACAAATCGGAATTGTTTTATTGAATATACACACACAAAAATTCAGCTACATTAAATCCAAAAGCAGATACTCAAAAATGACTTTAAAATATTTCTCAGACTGAACATTCATGTAACCTTGCTGTCACACCCCTGGTGGAATTTCAAATGGATTCGCTGAAAAATATATGAATGACCCAAAAAACACTTACACTAAAATATCCCCAGAGCTATGAAATATAAGCCCAATGTTAAAGATTAAGGTTGATTAGTTACATACAAATATGATATTATTGTTTTGAAACTCGTAGCGATTATAATTACATTTCCTAACATTGGTTGAAGCGCACGTTCAATATCCATAACAAGCCCGCAAGATCATCAGAAATACACTCAGTTGGACCCATGAGAGCAGTTATGTCAACAAACGCACGCGCGTGTATTTGAATCTCTCACCGTCAATCGCATGATTCTTATTAAAAACTTCATAATAGGCAGCAAAATCCTTTTAGCTACGTTCTTTGTACTTTCAATATGACGATATATATTTTTCATGATTCTTTAGACAATAACATAATGCCATAAACAATTTAAGTACTCAGGATTATTTTTATCAAAGCACCGCGCTCATTTACGCTTGTTCTGATTGGTTTGTCGTATTTTCGCACATAACAAGTATCGAGTGGGGGACGAGTCTTCTTGGAGGTTACGGAAAGGGACGAGTGGTGACGAATGGTATTCAAACCTCTCTGACATAGTAAAGGGACAGAACTCTGTACCTAAATTACCTCAAGGTTCCTGCACTTGTTGTGCACACATGTGTGGTTGATAATGTAATAGTTTGATGTTCATGATGTCAATCACTAGATCGTCTGGGCGAGACCTGATTACATACAGATCGCTATCATGTACAACAAACAAAATGAAGTGGTGCTCACCTCATTCTTCGTGTTAGTCGCGTGTTTGGGTCATGATTCACAGCCTTCTTGTCGGAAAATGCTGACAGCGGAATTCTCCAGGAATGATCATCACCTGTACAAAGCAAGTGTAACAGTGTGACTGGTTATTGCTTGTACTCCTGTAAGCAAACAATCAAGCATTATCAAAGTAACTGGAGAGAGGGAGGAGGGAGGTTTTCTGCTGCTTTTAGCAATATTCCAGCAATATCACAGTAATAATACCAGAAATGAGCTTCACACATTGTACTCATGTGGGGAATCAAACCCAGGTCTTTGGCATGATTATCAAATGCTTTAACCACGAGGCTACCCATCACCCTCTTATCAAAATGGAAATTCCTCTGGTGGTTAAGATATCTGAGCATATACAACTGCAAATATGTGCATCAGTTTTGGTTGTTGCACCATTCAATCTGCATGACTGCAGTTGCACTGATTGGTGATTAATTTTATAAACAATCAAATCTGGACCGGACATTTCTGTGGTTTAAATCATGAGCTATCAACAACATAACCAGGATATCATGACAAGTATCAGTGAGCCTGACCACCAGATCTGTTATGTGCCTCTAATGAGTGAGTGAGTTGAGTTTGGTTTTACGCCGCTTTTAGCAATATTCCAGCAATATCACGGCGGGGGACACCAGAAATGGGCTTAACACATTGTACTCATGTGGGGAATCAAACCCGGGTCTTCGGTGTGACGAGTGAACGCCTTAACCACTAGGCTACCCCACCGCCCCTGTGCCTCTAATGACAAGCATGGGTTGCTGAGGACCAATTCTTCACAGAGGTTAAAACATCCGTCATTACGTGTGTCTTACCACTGATGAGGCTTCCGTTGGCTGGAGCTACCTCCGTCATCAACACCATGCTGTGCAGGGACAACTGGGAAGATTCATTGCTTCTCACCAAGTTGCGTTGTCGTGGTGCCATCCCCATCAGAACTCGCTCATCACTCGCAGACTTGGGGATAAGTGATGTGGAGGCAGAATCCTGAAGAGGAAACACATTTAAGGTTTATTGAGGGACAGTGGGGTAGTCTTGTGGTTAAAGTATCCACTAGTCTCGCCAAAGGCCTGTGTTCAATTCCTACATTGGTAAATGTGTGAATCCCATTTCTGGTATCCCCTGCGTTGATAGTGCTGGAATCCATCCATCCACCCCAAACTTCCTCCCTCCACCTCTACCTCCCGCCCATCCATCCACCCCGACTTCCCTCCCATACATCCATCCACCCACCCCAACCTTCCTCCCTCCGGCCCTACCTCCCTCCCATCCATCCACCCCAACTTCCTCTCCACCCCTACCTCCCCCATCCATCCACCCCCACTTCCCTCCCATCCAGCCCAACCTCCCTCCCATCCATCCCAACCTTCCTCCATCCATCCCTCCCTCCCTCCACCCCACCTCCTCCCTCCTATCAACAACCACCTCCCTCCCATCCCTCCACCCTACCCCCTCCATCCATCCCACCTCCTCCCATCCCTCCACCCCACCTCCCTCCCATCAACAACCACCTCCTCCCATCCATCCCTCCCCACCTCCCTCCATCCACCCCTACCTCCCTCCCATCCCCTCCTCCACCCCACCTCCCTCCCATCAACAACCACCTCCCTCCCATCCATCCACCCCACCTCCCTCCCATCAACAACCACCTCCCTCCCATCCCCATCCATCCCCCCCACCTCCCTCCCATCCTCCTCCCATCTCCCACCACCTCCCCTCCCATCCTCCACCCCCTACCTCCATCCACCCCCACCTCCCTCCCATCAACAACCACCTCCCTCCCATCCCTCCACCCCTACCTCCATCCACCACCCCCCCTCCCTTCCATCAACCCCCCTCCCCCCCCCCATCCACCCCCCACCTCCCTCCCATCAACAACCACCTCCCTCCCATCCCTCCACCCCTACCTCCATCCACCCCCCCACTTCCCTCCCATCAACAACCACCTCACTCCCACCGACCCATCCACTACCCATTGACCTGACATACAATGTAATCTCGGACGTAATACAAACCAGTGTTAGAGATTCTGCTTTTGGTAGCTTCTCTAAGGAACGAGTCTGCTTGTCCATGTTGGTATAGTTGAGCTGGGACTGGGACTATTTGGATTTAGGATTAGTCGCTGCAGGATTCAGATGTGTAGAAGAAGCCATCATCTTCATGAACATCATCCATTTGTTTCAGTGTATACTTTCATCATTGTAGCACTGGACCATTTGCTGAAAGACAGTGTACACATAATTACAACAGTAAGAAACAATCCTTTGTTACTGATGTAACAGACATGATAGTAAGAGGGAACAGGGAATACATTTCACTCAGAGAAAAATATAAAATTGCAATATCACAACAAAGCTAGAAAAATATGATGGTCTGCTAGGCAAAATGTCATAGTCCACTTGAAAAATGTGAAGTGCACTTGCCAAATGTTATGGTAAACTGATTGACTCGTATGGTTTAACACTGCTTTTAGCAATATTCCAGTAATATCACAGCGGGGGACACCAGAAATGGGCTTCACACATTGTACCCATGTGGGAATCGAACCCGGGTGTTCGGCGTGACGAGCAAACGTTTTAACCACAAGGCTACCCCACTGCCCCTATGGTAAACTAAACAAATATGAATGTCCCTAGACAAAATATGATGAAACAAATGTGAATGTCCACGAGATGAATATGATGGTCCACTAGACAATCCACCTTACAAATGTGATGGTCCACTGAACAAATGACGACAATAGTAACTGAATAGGAAGGCGTTTCCTATTCTCGCGGTACTTACGGATATCGGCTGAAAAAATAACACAAATAATTCTTATCGTATTAATGCATGTTGTTTTTAAATGAAAGGCCTTCTCGTCTAACATCTACATCTATCTGCTGCCAGATCCATCAGGTGAATTACCACTCGTGAGCCCGGTGATAAACAATGCCATCCGCCACTGACGAAACGAGGCTTCTCCCATTCTCGCGGTATTACCAGGAATTAATGTTATTGAGTGTATGTAAGAGCAATCCTGCCGGGAAGGGCGGGAAAAAGTAATGATATGTCCAAGTTGGTATAAACTCCCTAATATTCGTGACACTGCAAGATTTTGAACACTCACAGACTTGGTCCACTTCCTAGTTACCAGTCGGTGATGTAAACAACCGCTAAGTGTCGCGCATCGGCGATTTCGGCAGAATACGAGTTTACCGCGAGAATAGGAAACCCGCGAGAATAGGAGACGGACCTATACCACAAATCCTGAAAAAACACAACAATCATCCCTCATCACATAACCTTCTATGAAGAACCCGGTTCTTGCCGTGGAAGAAGAAGAATCAACTGAGAAAAGGCAACAAATACGATTCTACAATATGGTTACTGTGTCACAAATACAAATAAGAATTTATAATGTTTTTATTCTTGAGTTGTGGTGCTTACATTTTCGGGCGATATATTTTCTCCAGGCCATTTTAGTTTAGTGCTGAAACGCCGTCATGGATAGAATCAGACAGCAAGCCACATTTCATCAAGTTATCCTTGTTATTACTTTTGTAAACCAACCATATTTTCTTAGTGACGTGTTTGCTGGATTGGTATCGACGAATATTATAAATGTACACAATCATAAACGCAGTATCGCGATTATATTGGCAACCTACATTAGAGTTATCGTTCTTGGGTAAGTGCTAAAAGTAAGCGCGGTTATTTAATGGAATCCTGTCACATGAGTGAGGATATTCAGCTTAATAACTTAGAATTATCATGCGACAATAGAATTTGCTTTCATTCTTTTAATTAGTCGACACAGTTGTCATGGTAGCAAATCGAGTTCTGATTTATTCGTAGAAATTTGAACAAGGTAAGAACACCGACCACACTTAGGAATGTGTTCAAGCAATGCTGCAAAACTAAAGATTATGAAAACTGTAAAAATGAACTTTTAAAACCTCTGTCTGCCCAACTTAAATGAATGTCTTCTGTTCTTTGGAGAAAAACGCCCAAAGTGGAGTGGATCGGCCTAGAGAAATAGGAAAATTAGTACAGGGAAAACGGCAGTTAAAATAATTATATTACTGATCATTAGCAATGGGGATGGTTTGTAAAGAAGTTTAACTTCGTTTTCTCTTCGATTCGATTCCTGCTCACTTGGGTAGAAGTGTTGATTCCAGAGACAAAGAAGCGTAATCATATTCAAGCTGATATACTCATAATTGTAGACACTGCATATGTTCGCATAATGCACCGGAGTGTAAGAAATGTGAAGAAGTTAAAAAATTGCATGATAAATGTTAGAATAATTTGTGTCCTCTCTCATTGGCTTAACTTATTTAAGATAAACTAAACTGAATGTTTACTCGCAGACGATGGAAATGTGACAAAAACAGTACTGAATCGGATCAACCAATTCATCGACAACGCCCATTTTTTCGGGTCAAAGCGGACCACAGTAAGTCACAATCAACCAAGTGACAATGTTCCTAACAAGTCAAACTGATACATTGGTACAAACTGAACTGACGGACAAAAGAAAGTACACACTTGACAACTGGATTTGTCCAACGCAATTTCAAATCTGATCAAAATGTTACGAGGCTGAAAATATTCGCTGAAACACTGCAAACTGAAGTAAAGAGAAACACACGTGGTTACCCGCATCAAACACATCACCATTGTATAACCCGTTGCTGTTTGTTTCATTTCTAGCCCTAAAGGGGTCGGGTGGTCAGGCTCTCCGACTTGGTTGACACATGTCATCGTATCCCAATTGGGGCGGTGGTGTAGCCTAATAGTTAAAGCGTTCATTCGTCATGCCGAGGACCCGGGTTCGATTCCCCAAATGGGTACAATGTGTGAAGCCCATTTCTGGTGTCCGCCGCCGTGATATTGCTGGAATATTGCTAAAAGCGGCGTAAAACCAAATTCACTCACTCATTCGTATCCCAATTGCGTAGATTGATGCTCATGCTGTTGATCACTGGATTGCCTGGTTCAGATTCGATTATTGACAGACCGCCGCCATATAGCTGGAATATTGCTGAGTGCGGCGTAAAACTAAACTCACCCACTCACTCATTTCTAGCCACCATCAAACAGCAGTAGGAATTACTTTCTTCTACCCGGTGCTATACAGCGACCTCGATCACTTTGAATTTGTGGAAAGTAAAAGGATGCTTGATCGGATGGGCTAAGGTTGGTTTGTTGTTTAACCCTGCACTCAGCAATATCCCAGCTATATGACCGCGGTCTGTAAATAATCGAGTCTGAACCATACAATCCAGTGATCAACAGCATGATCCAAGGACTAAGCGTTGTTTGGTTGTTTAGGCCGGACTCGGCAATAAGTCCAGCTATATGGCGGTTTTCTGTCAATAATCGAGCCTGGGCTAGACAATGCAGTGCTCAACAACATGATCCAAGAGCTAACCCTAACACAACTGATCCTGTGATATGTGAAGAGCGAGCCCGAGTCAGCCGCTTCTCTCTTTCAGTAAGTTGCGCCCGGTAAACTGCACTCTTGCCAAATTATTAAAACTATTAAATGATAAAGACTTGTCAATGACATTAATACATACGGGCCTCTGATTCTTACAATATATTGTTCAGCATCACTTATCTATTTATTTTGAAAACATGTAAAATTTAAAGGCGTATACATTATAAAATGGTTCTGCATTTTGGACATCAATACATTCCGTCCTACAACGTGCTATTTTCCGTAATATGACGAAGAGATATAATACACCTGATAACAGAGGATGGTGTATTTATCGATCAACACAAAGTGATGACGATGATGATGATGATGATGATGATGATGATGATGATGATTTGACTGAAAATTTGACTGAAAGGTTTTAAGCGTCTTCAGTCGAGGTAAACATTAAATGCAGAAAAAACTCAAATCTTCCAAGAAAATACAATGGGTTGTGTGCTTTTATTCATATACAAAATGGTGAATTTGAAAATGAACACAATTTCTTAATTCTTGCCTCTTCCAGTAATTAGTACTTAGTATAGCAGAAATCTGAATAATCGCTCTGACATACAAATACATAAAAATACATGAAATACATCGTGACCAGGGCAGACTCCGAAATCGCTAAATTATTGATGCAAGTTTTCGAATGTACCATTGACCTCCAATGCGCATGTATTACGGAACCACGTGAAAAATCTAGCAGACAAGCATGTCATGGTTGTTTGGAATCAACACAGGGCAGGGAAACACTCCCCAGCTCCCTATACCCCCTTCGCTCCCACCCCCGGGAGGTGACGACAAGGGATCAGGGTCCAAGGATGGCGATGGGGGAAGGGACTATCTAAAATGGATGCATACCGTTTTGATTCTGCAGCACTGGAGAGGGCTGCGAAAGCTGCAAAAGATCTCGAAACATCTAGTACGGATCAGATTTTCTTTTTCACATAATCTACATCTTTGTCAGCTTATTAATTTCAAAATTTTCCGATTGATTTGTGTCACTGTACATGTTGAGAACCTTTGGAAAACGAATATGGTTTAAATGTTTGTGAAAGTCAAATTATGTGACCTTTAACAACAGTTTAAGATGTTTCATCATTCGAATTTGTGAGTTCAGAAAGTTCAGTGAATGTTAACACCAGAGTATGCTGTGTGTTTTAAATGTATTTGTTATTGTTTAATAAGGAAACCAATAAATGACACCCGTTTTTGTTTGTATAAAAAGAATCATTACTGTTCATCACAGGTCCAGATAAGTCAACAGATATCATCATCAGTATATATTTTAGAGTCGTATGTCTGCATATGCATAAATATATGCAAAGTCTTTTCAAAATGCAAATAGCAATATAAACACTGCATATAATCACCCAATGAATAATACAAACTAAAGCTTCTCAGTAAAAATCATAGAACTATTAATCCCACAGTGACCTTGGGGTAGATTAGTGGTTAAAGCGCTTTGTGGTGATTCCCTATGAGTAAATTATGAAGCCCATTTTCTGGTGTCCTACTTGCGAGATATATTGGGGAATATTGCTAAAATATAAAACCCTTCAAAAACATCTAATTGCCATGGAAACTATCAATATGCAACATGTGCAAAGTGAATGGTCACATGAGTGTATACTCAGTGGTATTGAGTCTTGATACTGTAATTAAATGAAATATATTGAAAATGACTGCAATGTTAATTTTTTTCAGAGTTTTCCAAAGAAGCTTTGGAACTCACAAAACAGCAAGAAGTCACTGCTCAATTTGAACATCAAAAGAAAATAAAGGTATTTAATTCTTCTGATCAGTTTTTCTAGTTGTAGATGAATATTTATATGTGTAGCAGCCAGTAAATGTAAACATTTTATATTAGACCAAACCCAACCGGTATTGTTAGAATAATTAGTCATTATTGAGAGCGAGTGATGATGGATAAGAAAACAATTTCTGAATTGTTCTTCATAGATTTACCTGATGTTAGTCACATTGTAGTTTTAACACCTGCGAAGGTCCGCCTTAGAATGAACCTTCAGTAACCCATGCTTGTCGTTAAGAGGCTGACTAACAGGATCGGGTGGTCAGGCTCGCTGACTTGGTTGACACGTCATCGGTTCCAATTGCGCAGATCATTGCTCATGCTGTTGATAACTGGATTGTCTGGTCCAGACTCGATTATTTACAGACCACTGCCATATAGCTTGCATAAAACTAACCTCACTCACTCAATTGTAGTTTTAAAAATGCAAGTTTTATGGTTTTACTTTGCAATGGGTTGTAGGAATATGAAGGTCAACTTGAACAGATGAAATTAGAACAAATACGAGTTTCACAAGATGAGAAGAGAAAAACATTGGCAGAGGAGACGAAACAACATCAACAGAGATCTCAGTACCAAGACCAGTTGGCAAGAAAACGCTACGAAGACCAGCTAGCACAACAGGTGAATTTGGCGTATTTTACTCCTGCTCTTAATGTGTGTCTCTGTCATAATTTGTATTACCTGTGAAAATCTGGGTTAGATTTGGTCTTCAGCAACCCATGCTTGTTGTAAGAGGTGACTAACTGGATTCGTACATCCGTGGTCATGCTGATCACTGGATTGTCTGGTTACAGACTGCTGCCATGTAGCTGGAATATTTCTGAGTGCGGCTTTAAACATCAGACAAACAAAACAAGACATAATTTGTATGCTAGAATGGCCCCATTGCTCACTCCCCCACCCACTATACCCTGACCAATAACTGAACTGGACGTAAAAAGGCAGTTTAATGGTTTGGGACTTGGTAGAGGGCATGAGTCATTTACCATGTTTACAACTCAAATCACAAGCTTGTCTGGTCTAGATTTGATCATTTTTAAAATGTTATATCAGCAGGATTGTACTTCGAATAATAGAATATGTGTGTGTATTGCTATGTTTGGATAGTTTGATTGTGAACACACTAAATATGCTAATGTATGATTTCACAATTTAGTCAAGAACTCAGGAAGAGACATTACGACGACAAGAAGAATCTGTACAAAAACAGGAGGAGATGAGGAAAGGTAAGATCATCACCACCACCACCATCATCATCATCATCATCATTCAAAATCAAAATTGGCCAGCTTAGAAGGGGACTTTGTTCTTGGTTGGAGTTGATTAGGTGGTCATGTTTGTTGATTTGTTGCGTGTGATGAGTGACATGATTCC